TTTAATATCTAGGTCTCTTCGTCACGTTTTACCAGCCTAGGCTGGCAGACCTTGGTTATTCTATTTTACACGTCAATAAATTACAACGATACCGCAGTGTCCGCCATGTTAACCGTTACCAGGATATAAAGACAAGAACTGTTAATAATGCTCAGTGGCAAAGTACAAGACACACCGGGATACAAGCAAAGCCACGACGGCGTCCATTGTCGACATTAACGTCGACCTGCTATCAGTTTATGAGTTTAACATTCGAACGAGGAAATTATGTTACTCGGCTCGAAGGACTATCACGTGACATTTTATTCTCGGTACTTACGAGAACGGAGACACAACTACTGCTACCAATAACGACTTGGCGCGGACGGTGTACAGTTTCTGCCTTTATGTCGCTACTCTGGTGCGTTCTCATGGAACTACCATGTATCCTTATTTATTAAGGGTATTTTATAGAGCGATGCGCTCGTACACTTAGGCTTGCTTGGCTGTCTGACAGATGGAGTGACGGTGGGTCTACTACCGCTGCCAAAAGTTCAGGAACGTCTAAGACAGGGGCAAAAGGACAATTAACGTAAATTTTCGTATTTTTAAGGAAAAAATTTTGTGATATCTCAAGTCGCCCAAATTTTTTTTTTTTTTCTAAATAACGTGTTTTCTTTTCAGATAGCAAATGGAAAGAATTGACAGAGAAATTTGATTAGACAACGAATTTACACTTGCACCGGAAATGAATGCATTAGCAATGACTGAACAAGGTCAGAGGGTCTCGGAAACGGAAGTTAGAAATGGCTAATTGATCCCGATTACCGTACCCTTGGTTGGCCAAGCGAGCAACGTCTAAAATAAAGATAAAAGCCGAAAGAAAACCCTTCGTTGCTAGCCAGGATTTAATTAACAGGCTCAATTAGCAGGGAAAAAGAGGAAGAAGGGAGAAAGAAGGTACGAGGGGTAACAATATTAAAAAAAAAAAGATGCTGGAGAGGAGAAGTTATGAACAAAGGGTGCTGTACGTAACGTGTCCGGCAAAAGCGTATGTATGTATGTACATTGCGGACGTAAATTGCGCTTAATGCTTCCGACGCAACCAAGAGGCAAATGAATGAAATTTATATAATCCATCGCGTGTTAGATCGCGACGCTCGAGTGATTCGTAGTAATGACATAGTAAATTTTGCAACAAGCGGTCGCGGTCGCTTTCTGTTAGGATACCAGAGTAGACTCTCAAAATCTCGTAAACCAATGAAATATGCAATAAACTCAAGGTAGGCACCGAACGAATGAATCAACATAGCTGATTAATAACAGAGAGTGAAATCCAGTTGCAATTTCAAAGAGAAAAAAAAATCAATGACAGAAAAGAATTTCATCGATAATTAACGCGAGTCAATAATAAAGAAAAAATGAATAATGAACGAGTAACGTTTGAGTGGATACTGAAGAAAAATGACGCGGATACAATATTTACGAAAGAACCGAGTGCTCGAGAGCTTAACGTACGAGGCCTCCGATGGACGCCACGAATGTAATTGAACTCAGTTGACTTTATAATCACGTTGACTGGTACGTATCAGGCCCATCTCGTTCATATCGACACTACCTACTTGTTTACCAAGCGTTACAATGATTCCGCATTGAAGATATTTCAACGAAATCAGAAAGAATCGTGTTTCGAGAATTGAACTGCAGCCGGCAGCGCCGCTCCGCGGAATTTTCGAGCGACTAAAGGAGCCATGACCACTCGAGAATCAAGATGCGAGGACTGCGGGGAACGCGAGGCGATCATTTTCAGATGACGCTGCGGAAATGGAATTCTACAGGGTATTGAAGGCAACCTGAATCGATAATCCAAGCGTTCTGAATAAAGTGGATATCCAAAACCCATATTCAAAGAACGGCATAGGTGTATATCGATAAATCTAAAAAAAAAAATTTCATAACTGTCAAGGAGTCTTGAGTAACAGAGAAGAAAATATTCAGCGTATTCAATCACCTTGAGCAAGTGTTTCGACCCTTCCGGTACAGCAGAAAAATGCAAAACGTAGAAGACAGATTAAAAACATAACCTAAAAATTGTCGACTTTAAGCAAGTCGACCGCTCGTTCAAATTCGCACTATGGACTGAAGAAGATAGAAAAAGAGAACAGAGACATTCGCAGCAATGGCGAAATTCAAAGCGCAAACTACATTAGCAGTCGGCGCGACGGTTTATCGTACAACGAGATACGGCTGAAGAAATATAAGCTCGAACCACCGTGGCGCCCTGACACTAACCTCCTTGACATCTGCTTGCGCACACGGCGTCTCGATGTTTTGCATTGAATACATTGATTACGTACGCTATACGCGAAATACATATGCAATTGCTAGTGCGAGACTGTCACTCTTTTAATTATTCTATAGGGAGAGAAAATGCTGAGTTTCTAGCTAATATTAAAGCACAATGAAAAGTTAATGGTTTTCCTAACACCGCGGACACGTGGTTGCTCCCCTCGTGTGTCCACGTAAATCTCATCGTCTATCTGCATATATTTATGAAGTGTACGCGAAATAAATAGTGACGGCGTATATAATCCACTAGGTAAGTAGAAACTACCAGAGGTACCTACAGTCGGTTCTCTGAGGTTCGAAGAAGCCACGAATGTTGACATACGACACAGTTACGAGCCGTGAGAAGTAGCCTTAAACGTCCTACAGCACTGGCTTCTTCGACTAGCGTGCGGAGCCTCCCGACGGCATAGCGGCCGGCCGGCATGTTGACAGCTGCAACCGGGTTGAACTGCATTGCATCACGTTTGCTGCTCTCAAACGAGTTTCAAATGTACGCGCGTCGGTATCAAAGACGTCTACGCGTCGCGAGGAACGGTCTCTTTCACTGCTAGGTTATAGGTGGAAAGAAATCGAGAATGAAAATTTGAATGCAGTATCGGATGCTTGAATATAATCTACTAAATGGAAAAAATTCATAAGGTATCCAAACGTATAAAAATTGTAACACAGGCTCTATAGGGCATACTGGTTGCTTGAAAATAAATTCAAACGGATTATGGATCGTTCGAAATCTCTGATATCCGTTTATATTATGTATTTTAAATATTTCTAATTCCGAAATTATAAGGCGATCCTCCATGCGTCATAAGAAAAGTAATAGTCGACGCGCCATTGCGAGTGCGACGTAGAAACAGATTTTCGGGAGACCTTGTAAGGTCGATGGTGAAATAGAACGCAAAAAACAATTACGTCGCGACACTCCACGTGTTCCACGATTCATTATTTAGTTTTTTTTCGATATGAGTCGTTAAGAGAGTCGTACCTATAGGGCGAGGAGCTTCAAGTTTCTCGGCCACCACGTGGCGAGCGACTGGATTCTCCTTGTCGCGCAGCACGGGGTCTACACGAGCGTTTGCAAGGCTGCGCGACAGTTCGCGCTCACATTGCAGACTCGTTTTTATTCTTGCGTACGAAGTTCCCTCTCTTCTGAGTAAACACGGAGAAAACCGAGTCAGATACGTAGAGTAATACAAAAATGGTTTAATGATTCATTTTATTTAATATTAAAAAACATACATCGCACAATATACGTCTGTAGGTACCGGCCAACTGTCTCGACTTGACACTTTAACGATATCGTAGTCAACTAATTTACGCGGGGCTGGATAATTTAAAAAATCGAAGGAAAAAATAAATGTCTTGGTAAATATTAATGGCAATGATATTATTAGACGGAATAATGGCGGTCGTGACGTAACGTCTACGAAATGTCAAAGTCTCGCGAACTGGACACGTGACTTCTGTCAAAGTCCGTTTAGCTTATCAACTCTTTATAGCGAGGAAATTTTTCTTTTAAGAGTATTGAGTATTAAAAGTGCAAAGAAAAGGAAATCATCTGGTTTTATTATGCATACGAAGAAGTGACAGTTCTCGTCCTGTAAGTTCTATATATAAATTCTATCGGTTGTAATGGCAGAGCTATAATCAAAACGCGAAGTATACTCTTATCTTTCTAGAAAGTCAACGGCTCGTTTAATTGAACTATTCCGAGAGCTTCTCAACGTGCATAGAAAGGAAGCTTAAAACTTGGAAGAAATATAGGAAGGGAAAATAGTCTGATAGAAATAAACAAAAGTTGTCAAGACACAACGCGAACTAACCGGTTTCGCATGGACTTTCGCACATCCGTGAACGTTAACGAGCGGTAATTACGATAAGTATTGATCGACCGAGGGCGAGAACATGTCAAGATGAAATTTATAAAAGAATCTTCGTGAATACTTTCCAACGGCTATCATAGTTGCGAGTGGTACTCTGCGAAAGAAAGAAAAGATACAAAAAATCTATACGAGAGTGTCTCGCTAATAAAAAGTAATAATAATTTCAAGAGACTAACAGTCACGACGGCGGGAGGTTGAAATTAGAAAAATGAAAAAAAAATTAACTTAAACGCGCATAGCAATTGAACGGGGTATGGTAAGAAAATGAAATTTCGATCAATGACAAATAACTATCGATCTTCTCGCTTTCGTTACGCAAGAGTAAAATTAATTAGATAAGATGCCAAGAGATTAAGTAACAACACACCAAGTCACTGTATATCACTGGTGTTCGTGAGAAAGCCGAAGGTTACCGAGTGCGAACGAAGTTTCGATATCGAGTGGCACGCGCAGTATTCATGCCTTCCGTAAAGACACGAGGAGACTCTCGTCTCAACTGACAGCTAGTTACTTATTTTCCCACAATACATTTGTACAATGCGTATCGGCACGTAACAAAAAAAAACTGTCTAAAAATATGCAAAACCATACGAAGGATCGAACGACGTGGTATAAAATAAGGTACGGGTATACAAGGGTATACCATAACCTATAATTCTAAGCGAGACAAATAAGGCCGTCCAGTAATATAATAACACAGCACTCAGGCAAGTCGGTATTTCGTAGAACCGACGAAGAGCATGGGACGGTTGACATCTGCGCTGGTTAAAACTCGGCCTCTAATTCCCTTACCTGGAGACAGGACGGCAGCTCGATGAGGAAAACGTGGATCGCGATTCGTTGTGTCTTGAGAGCGATGATGATGATCCAAATGGTGTTGGTGATGATGATGGTGATGGTGGTGATGATGATTGTGATGATGCTGCTGTTGCTGTTGCATCGTCCTGTCGCCATTTATTCTCTGCTCCAAATGCATGGCTGCTGGTGGCAGCATCTTTTATTTACTTTGGAATTAACCGTAGGAGCGTCAATCTTCAACAGGATTGGTGAAGCTTCGCAAACACCACGAGATGTCACGAGTGGCGTAAGGGCGTTCCCGCGCGTTTTCAATTTCCGAATATTAAAAATTGAAAAATTGCGTAAAATATGGATACTTCAAAAGACGGATTATAAAGGAGAGTGACTTTTGATTATAGCAAAGTCATTTTATAATTTCCTTTAGATTATCAGGCACGTAGAAGCACGTTAATATTCCAACGTCACGTGTCAGTATTACTCAAGCACGTATCTCTTGTTACTCTCGAGTAACGTCTATCGTCACTCAAATAACGCCGAGCAATAGGTATTTTCCTTGTGTAGCCTCTGACGTTCCAGGTACACGTCGCCGCTTGTCTCGTTGATGGGGCGTCGATGAAAATTAAGAATCCCCAGACCCTCGCGGTTAGCCGCCACCTTAGACTCTCTTCCGCAGCCCACGTTCTTCCAGGCACTTTTGCACTTCCGTTTTCCGGTATGAAACTGCCACTACTCAATGTATACCAGAGCAACGATAGCCTGTTTCTTCACTCGAGTACGCGTCCAGAGCGACTCAGTGTCCTCTCAAGCACCACAACAGGACATTCGCACGGGCGTTTCGACGCTTTGATTCCGCCCGGTTTGTGACTCTCCGTGCGACGTTCTCGCGGCTCGCTTCGACTGCATTTGACTTGTCTAGTCACGTTGTATGTACGTTTACGAAACGTATTTATCACTCGAGAGACGGTTAAAAGACTGCTGGCTTATGGGTAGCGTCCTAGCGTCTCTTTACCGGCATCAGTGGCTTCTAGTGCAGAAATGTCAAAGACCGATATAATACGCTTCTACAAGGCGCGACGACGCAGTCAAGAGCGACGCACTCGCGTGTATTCGATGCCGGAGCACGACTGAAGCAGTCCACGCCGACGCCGGCTTGACAGGCGCCCGGGGCAAGTGTACTCCCTTCTTCCCAGGCGTCCCCCTTAGCAGCGTTCAACTCGACGCCAACGTCGACCCGGCCGGCCTCTTCCTCCTTCTCCTGTTCTAGTCGCCGACAGTGGAACCCGCCTTTCACGTCCCTCGGCGAAGCACCCCTCGTCCAATGTTTGTCCCACTATCGTTCTCTCCTTCTCCGTCGTACCCTCAGTTTTCCCCCACCGCCAAATCGTCCATTACCAGTTGGCGGGAAAACGTATCCTATGACAGCTGCCTGCCTGCCCGCCCGCCCGCTCCTACTAGGTGGACGCTTGGATGCCTTAATGCCCGAATGCCTGGCTGTTCGGCTGTTTGACAGACTCTGCTGAAAACCTTTTACGTTCTCGTAGCCCTGTTCCCCGTTTAAGCCAAATACAAATACGAGAATACGACTCGGACTGTGCTTAGGCAACATACCCGAATGTCATGGAGGTATATGCATTAATATGGCATACACGATTTATTGTATTGTTATATAATATATCCTCGCGCTATAGAATTTCATTCATATTATTTCTCGACAAAACATAACCTCAATTTACCTTTTGGTTTCGTGAGGCTTCGTGCGCCGATTTGAACTCCGTGCTTACACCTGCACCATCTTGTACGGCCAGTGCAACGTACTCGTTACGTTCAATAAAGCATACATCAGCCCGAAGGAATGTACGAGGGAGATCTCGGACCTAACCTGGCTAGAATTACAGTACATTGCCGTTTTGCATTACAACTAATGTTATCACGTTTATTTTTTTTTATTATATTTTTTCTTACACTCCACTATCTTTATCCTTCTCACTTCGCTCAGCAGGTATAGACTATAGTTTTAGTTCAATTTCTTCTCACAGAGCGCACGAGTGCGTCTGACTTCTTTTGCTCGAGTCTTTTGTTTACCTCGTACTTTGGATAATTTTTACAGCCTAGACACGTGTACTATTGTCTTCACGTTTTCGTGGAAATAGAGAAAAGCAAAAATGATGAATTCTAGTAAAACGTCGAAAACGCATCTTCCACTGGCTTTAACAATATTTTTCTTGTATTGGAATACGAATGCTCTTATGCAAGCTGAATGGTTTCCACGTGGATTTTCGCTAATATCACCAATAGATATAACCGGAAGTCACCTTGGTGATTGTCTAGTAGCTTCTTCCGGTTACACTTTTTTAAAATATTTCTATCTTGTAACGAGAATCCGCGCTTCAAATATGCTCCCGGAATACTTTGAAGTAATTTTGTAATATTTATTTTTATACCTTCTGTTTTCTCGATTGGCCATACTGTAATAAGGATCTTTCAATTCTTTTTTTCCCCCAAGTATTACCACCTGCGTGGTGTCAACGATCCTCGACTCGTAACGAGCGAAAGATGAAATTCTGTCACACACAATGAGTCCAACGTGACAGGCGTGGATCGATGTTACATCGAACAAGGTATATCGAATTCGTCGGGGATACGAAACGAGGCAAACGATTTGTAGAGGCTAAAGGCAACGGGTTTACACAGATGGCTAAATAACCTTTGCAATTCAACGAGCAGCACGATTGCTGGGTCAACTCTTCGTTACTCGGTGATGTAACGAATTCATATATGTACACTAGAGCGGCAGTAATTTCATTTATTCAATTGCGAGGACAGTGCGCTGTCACCTGGCACACCACACTTTGCAGTTTTGACAGTTATTTGTCAGAATCCACCTTTCAAATTTACCGCTTTTCGTTAGCGTCGAGAAAGTGACATTACGTATGGTGTTAAATTAAAAATAAAAAGTTTAAAATTTTCGTCGATGCCGGCCAAATTTCATCGGCCGTATATATAACATGAAAATTTCCAAAAAATTTCCAAAAAATTTTTCGTAATAAAATATCGATATAGATTTTTTTTTTTTTTTTTTTTCTAATCACCAATCAAATGATTATTGGTAGTGACTTTTTTCTCCTAAAGTCACGCGTAACAAGTGTATTACCAGTGCCACAAATGATTCTGTAAAATATGAAAAAATAAAAGATCGAAAAATTTTTGAAAAATCTTTCAAAAATTTTAACGCCGATTACACCAGAGCGCGTAAGCGTCGGCGTCGCTGCATCGGGACGCCTACCGATAGCCGTTATACGTCCGCGATGCCTCAGTCAATCAACCAGCGGCAAAGATTAAGTATGCGCTATCACTTGATACTTATAAACTGGAGATACCTATGTATTATTTATATGTACCCGTACGAGAATTTGATAACGAAGAATCTCGCGGAAGAGGTTGCGCAACGTTGACTTACATAACTGAACGATCAGTATGTCGCCTTGGCCTCCCCTACTTTACCTACCAATACTTTATAGCCATCACCTCTAACGCCGTCCCCACCACCAAACGACGCCGACGATACCGCGACGTCGCGACGTCGTAGCCACCGACGTCGATCTACTTTTGACGTGGGCCGTCACGTGCCGCCGGGCCCAGCTGTCAAAATCTGCTGACGTCAAAAATCTTGTACGCTTTTGGTTTTTGAAAAAAAAAAAAAAAAAAAAATACTCCTATCGTACATAAATAATCTTATACAAATATGGACCTTTTTGAATGTCGTTTTGAAAAATAAATTTGTTTAAACGGCATCTTTTTTAATGTCTGCAACATTGACAATTATCGTTCAGGCGGATATTTTGTAATTTTTTTTTTTTTTCAATTCGACTCTCAATTTATCAGAAATTTGACCGGATCGTTTATGATCTATATTTATTTAATACTGTCTTATATTTCCTTGCTGGGTAGAACCGTTAAGCACGTACTTACACGTCACACGTTACGCGTATTAACGTATACTACTTGCCGTATACTCTACTTGAGTCTATCTCTTGCGTACGGCAGTGTGCTTTTTATGAATGAGACTTACGCCCACGCTACGCCGGAAGCGCCTTGTTTTCTATGTTAGCCATGAGCTCCAGCGAGAATATCAAGTACGTCATCAATTTTACGTGAATTATTCCAGCGTCATTGTACGCTCGGGATTGAGCTCCAGAATTTGCACATTTTTTCCATACTTCGGTACGCGTGAGTAATTTGAGAAGAAAGATGCGAGAGACGAGGGAAAAAATATGTAAAAATGGAAATTTGAGAATTCGTAAATATTCATGACAGCCGATGAATCCAAAAGACGATATTGGTAATGATTATGTAATATTGAACTGTTGGACCTTTTTTTTTTCTTGACCTTTTTTTTCTCAATTTTAGATACATATACAGACCTGGATAGAGGTATCAATTATTTGCCTGATACTGTGATCATATCTGTTCGCACTGTGTTGAAAGACTGTGTGCTGCTTATGAGTGCACATGTGATACATATATATATTTGCAACATATGATAAGATTAAAATACGATTATATACAAGAAAGTTGGGTATATGTGATTTCCAATTGCGACTGAATTTGCAATTTAGCTGCTGCTTCATTTACAAAGGATATATTTAGATCAAGACACCATCTCGAAGACGTTATGTTATTTGAGTTAGAGTTTGGATTGTTGATTGCTGTGAATGATCTAGTAACTTTTTGGACATTCGTTTCTGGTGATTTTTCTCATCTGGTGATAATCGTGGTTGACTATCTGGTTATTTGGTTTATGATTTACTGATCTAATTGCGTTGCTTTTATGGATTGGACTTAATTGCCGGAATTTGATAGGTTAATAATGACAGTGGATTAGGAATTGGTAACAGTAGTGATTTCATAGCCTGGGGCACGGGTGTGATTCGAAACTTGATGGGGAAAAAAAAAATTATGAAACGAAATAGCAAAATTACTCGATTAAATTTATCTCTAAATTTAAATGATTTGTTTAACGACATTTTATAATGATGTAATATGAATTTTATGCTCTTATAATTGAATTTTTGATTGTGAATTAAAATTAATTTTTTTTTAATTAACACCAGATCGATACTCAAGGACACTCGGCTCATTATCACGTAATGGATTTCGGTGACCTTTGAAATTTCAAAGTTCTTCGTATAGTCAATTCTCCCGATACCTCTATATGCTTACAGTTATTAACTTTCTTTATTCACTTTCACTCGTTTGCCTTTGGATTAATATATATATGTATATAAGGGTATCAGGCGTTTGATTTGACAGAAAGTCAATTAATAAAAATAAATGGTACGTTGCCCCGGATAAAAGAACATGGGTAAACCAATAATAACGACTACGAAGCCTTAAGGAGAGAGAAACGTTGCTCTGGGATTTCAAGAAAGAAAAAGAAAAAAAACGAATTAGCTTTCCACAGTCGACTGTTGCCAACCCGAGTATTCGTGCACGTGTATACGTTTTGGTAAGTGGAACCGAAAAAAAAACAGAAGAAAAAATCAGAAAATATATCCATCAATATTTTACAGCTTCTCAAAAATTGCTGAAATTTCTCCAGTTACAGATGATGGACGAGTGTGACGTCTCGTTGACTTTCGAAAGTCCCGGAAAAATTTTGAAAGAAAAAAAAAAAAAATAAAGTACACGACAAAAATTGACTCGATAATTAAAAATCAAGCCGCTGTCTATTTTATTGCTACGAATAAAAATCTTGAAATTCCTTATCGATATTTGAGATATTTTTTTTTTCAATACTCTTAATACCTGCCTAACGTCCTAGGTATACCTATAGCGGCTTATTGGAACAGATGTTTCGACAGACCTGCGAGCCCTTTTGGTGACATGTGTTTCTCTGAATGACTTAGGACTTAGTCAAGTCCGTACAAATTGTAAAACATACGTATGGACGTCAAGTTTGTTGTTTTCTTTTCTATTTTACTATTTCCTTTCCTTCGTCTTGAAGTACCGATCTTAAGGGTCGGCGGCCATTTTGGTATCCTAACGGGTAGGTATTGCGTAAGAGTTAAGAACGGTTTATATTATTACGAAGAAGCGCTTAGCGTGTCTAAATAAAACTTATGCAACAGACACAAGTGGACAGTAGTACCAATATTCATAAGCCCAAGCATTAGAGATTAAGTCAGTTGGTATGGCAAATTAATTTTATTTTTATTTTATTTTTTTTTTAATTTCTCAAACAATGCT